TTTAGTGGTGAAATCCCCAAAAATACACAATAATTTTATGACATATTCACAGAAGTTACACTTTTATGTAATCAAAAGCCTTTTTTGACCTCAAACAGGTTTGTTTTTTGGTTATTTGTTATTTCCTGACCGAGTCTAAAATAAATATTTTTTTCATTGTATAATTTTTATTTGTAAGATGGTACAGTGGTGAAGATCCGACATTCTTAGGTATACAGGATGGTCCAAAAGGTTTAGCTCGCCGTCCGTCCGTCTAACGACGACAGGACGTGTCGACGGCGCGTTTTGTTCCACGCGCCTCAAATAGCTGTCAGCAGCGTGAAGGGGCCCGCAAGGGCCGACGCCTGCCGGGGCTGCGGGCTGTTCGAAAGAGATACCGCGGCTCCGGAACGTAAGGGCACTGAAGGAACACGGATGGTTTTAATCAGTAAAAGTCTGACACTCCCTTACGCTCCACCCAGAGCGAAAGGCGTCATTAGATGATTTTCCATCCGCAAAAAAAAAAGGTGGTCCAAAAGGTGACGTCCAAAAATTTTTTTTGAAAATACCCCATGTAAGTTCCGCGATTTTTCTTAGTTTACGAGATATGACTTTTTTGTATTATTTTGAAAAATGTCGACTTAGCGATTCAAATTTTTTTTTCCTGAAAATTCTGCTCTCTTTTCTACTTTTTTTATTCTTAGCGTAGTTTTCATGAGTTGGACTCTTTGACATAAAAAAATAAGCTGCCTACCATTAATACAAATTGCAAAAATTTTAATCGCAAACAAATTATGCAGATATGATTGAATCAAAGTTTAATTTTGAAATTTAAACTAAAAATTAAATAATGAGTTCCATGACTTTAAAGTAAGTTTAAAAACTTCGCAAGACCCTAAGCTTTAGTTATAATACAAAAAAAGTGGTGGTCAATGGGCCTTTTTTTAGCCCTAGTCGGCCTTTAATTGCACAGAGCCAAAAAGTTCAAAAATAATCGTTTTATTATGCACCTATTGTTTATTACTAAGGATAATTAGATTTTCATGGTATGTCATAATCTTTCATAATAAATAAAACAATTTGGTTTTTTAATACTTATTTTATTTTACAACCAATTCTCAAAGTACCCCCCCCCCCCCTCCACTTCAATACATAGTCTACAACGCCTTAGAAAATTTTGTTTCAGTCTTCTAAAAGCATTTGAATTTTGTCTGATTTTTGTTTCCGCCTCCGTTAATTTATCTCGCAGTTCTGCTTCAGTGTTTGTTTCGCTTGCGTACACCATCTCTTTGTAATATCCCCAGAGAAAGAAATCTATGGGATTCAAATCTGGTGAACGTGCAGGCCAATGAATCGGTCCGCCATGCCCAATCCATCTATTGGAGAATCTTTGATTAAGGTGCTCCCGTACCTCTCTTGCATAGTGGCAAGGAGCACCATCATTTTGGTAAACCATATCCCTTCTTGTCAATAAGTTTACATCGCCTAATAAGCCGTTTAAATTGTTTTGTAAAAAGTCTAAATATTGGGGTCCGTTTAACCTAGCAGGCAATTCAAAAGGTCCTATAAGTTCCCCGTTCAAAATTTACACTATAATATGTTTGAAAATTTGAAGGCCTTGCCTTGTGTGTGTTTTCAACAGCCCAACTATGGTAATTGTGGATATTGAAGACTCCTGTTCTTTCAAATCTAGACTCGTCTGTCCACAGAATTTTATCAAAAAAACCTGGATCCTCCGCAGTTCTTTCCAGCATTGTTCGACAAAAAGTCACCCGTCTTGAATAATCTGCAGGATGCAATTTTTGGACGCGTTGAATATGATAAGCGTGGTAAGTCTCTGAAACAAAAACGAAATTGTACTTTCAGGAATCACTGTTTTTATTCCATGAAATGTGGTTTTGGCCCGACATAAGTATTTAAAATTAATTGATCGCTCGTCGCTATTCAAAGGTGTGCTTTAATACGGTGTCAAAGTAAAAGTTTTAAAGACAAAATGAACTTACCTGACTTAAGTATCCTTATAACTGAGGTTCGTGGTACACTAGTCGTTCTCGTAATAGCTCTGGTGCTAGTAAAAGGATATCTTTGCACTTGTTCCACGACTTCATCTCTGACATCTGGATCCACTCTGGGTACTCCTTCGTGGGAACTGCGTCCCGGAATTCGTCCGTCCATAAATGTATTATGTGTATTTATGAACACTCTGTGATCGGGATAAAGTTCCTGTTCTTCTCCCTCGCCGTTCTAGTTTCTCTCGGTAAAGCCTTGCCGCTAAATGGCCATTGTCTTGGGCAACGCCGTAAAAATAATGCATTTCTGCATATTCCTTCAAAGAATACCTCATTTTGCAACACAAAAATCCAAATCACAAGGTAATCAATCAAAGTCCGAAACACAAGCACAGTCAAATCAGTTAAAAGGCGAAACTGAATCCAGTTAGCAAGCAGTCGTGGTAAATTAGGAAGTATCGAAAACAAAAACAGGAGTAGTAGTTACGCGAGCGATAGCTGTGAACAACTGAGGCACTATATGACTGAGGCTACACCTGTCGCCTTATGCGCGCGAGCTATGGCCAGAGCGAGAGAGCGCGCTACACACGACACAGTATTTCTCACTCCTGCTTCCTTTGTACGACTCGTGGTATTTTTTGTGATCTGCAACCGTCTACCTGCCTATTACTATTATTATTCATTAACATTGAGGGGAAATTCGTTGTTTTTGTGACCCATCTGTGCTACTTACTGAAGTGGTACTATCCCTAACCCGAAGATTTACATTTCATTTTATTTTATTTCATTTGATTAGATTCTATGGCGAACCTAATTATTTTACGAAATAAGGTGTTTAAATAATAATGTTGAAAATTTTCGCCTCTGTGCAATTAGAGGCTGATTACGGCTAAACAAGGCCATTGACCACCACTTTTTTTTAGATTATAATTAAAGCTTAGGGTCTTGCGAAGTTTTTAAAATTACAAAGTCATGGAACTCATTATTTAATTTTTAGTTTAAATTTCAAAATTAAACTTTGATTCAATCATATCTGCATAATTTGTTTTCGATTAAAATTTTTGCAATTTGTATTAATGGTAGGCAGCTTATTTTTTTATGTCAAAGAGTCCAACTCCTGAAGACTACGCTAAGAATAAAAAAAGTAGAAAAGAGAGCAGAATTTTCAAGAAAAAATTTTTTTTGAATCGCTAAGTCGACATTTTTCAAAATAATACAAAAAAATCATATCTCGTAAACTAAGAAAAATTGCGGAATATACATGGGGTATTTTCATGTAGCCCGAAAGGTCAGCATTCCAAAAAAAATTTTTGGACGTCACCTTTTGGACCACCCAGTATATGCAAAGAATAAAATAAGATCTGCTTACCTGAGTAGGAGTTACCCACGACTGTAACAAGTTAATCATTCGAGTAGACGTTTGTTCTCATGAATGTGTAGGGAGGTTTCTGTGTTTCAAAAAAGAACAATTGATACATCGTTTGTTTTGTCAAATGACTGACGGTGTCAGTCGGCCTACCCTATGACTCGACGTATTTACACAATTAAATACACAGAAATAAAGTTCACAAAATACCAACAAGTTCTACTTCTCAACACACAATTTAATAATTAATCTCAAGTCTCAAAAACACGTCAAAACGTTTGTCAAGTCTTTGTCTTATGAATGGAGGCAGTTTCAACTAGACCTATTGTTCTCTAATGTGAGTTTCTTCAATTAGTTTCAGAGCCAAAATTTTTATGAAGTGACGGCGTTGAAGTTTTGTGTTTGAATTATTATGTCTCTATCACCTGACTATTTATAGTACTGATATTGAGTATGGTGCAAAAGATAACCATAGGTTAGGAAAATTTTCCATTTTTTTTATAGAATCACTATTTGTTCGAAACAACTCGTCAACATTAAGATGATTAGATAATTTGACTCCGGCTAATGGAATCAAACCTATATTTTATCACGTTGACATTAGTTTGTCAGGCATATGTTTCTCTGGAATATTTTGTTTTAATGGTGTCAATACATTTTTTTTATAGGATAGGGTGACAAACGAGCACACAGTCCACCTGATGGTAAGTGGTTGCTGCGGCCCATAGACATCTATATCTATCTTCCATTACAAATCAAAATGCAGATGCGTTGTCTCCCGTGAGGACTGAGATGGAATGCCTCATTTCCAGTAAAAAGGGTCTCCGGTTCTCTACACTCACCATACGAAATACAGCAGCATTAAGCTACTATTTCACGCTGGTATTCTGTGAGAGCGTGGTCCTTCCCCGGTTGAGCCGACCTATTCGTGCTACAACTATACTACTAATATAATTGCAGCATGGCTCTACCATATCTCATCATATCTAGTATACTTGACAACGACATCTATTATAGTGTTGTCAAAGAATTGTCTCCAAATTACAAGTGGATTGCCCGCGCGCCTCCGCTCTCGACTAACTTCATAACTAACGTGACCATACGTCCCACTTTAGGCGGGACGTTCTAGTACTGGGTCGTTCCAGGTTTTTTGTAAAACGAAACGAAACCGTTTTTTTGAAATGAGAAACAGTTCTGAGAAACAGTTTAAAAAAAACAGTTTTTCACAACAAATCCCGTCAGTGTACGTAACGAATTCACCATATGATTGTTTACAAAATAATGAAACGAACTTCCCTTCATACCTTTCCAGGCTTAGGACTGGCTGACAAATGTAACAGGTGTATTTAAAAGTTCATTTTATATACACGTTTTCATTATTTACACTATTTACAATACTAGAACAAAAGATATTTACAAATTAAATCGGTTTTGGTCTAAATTTACGTTTAAAAACATAAGCTGCCGCACTTTATCCGTCTTTAAACTGGCTCGCCTGTCTGATATTATTTGGCCAGTTTTACTGAACATACGTTCACAACTCACAGAAGTTGCAACTATGTTGCAATTGGTTCTGAAAATTTCTGCCAAGTTTGGGTAAATATGGCGATGACTATACCACCACGCTTGAGGGTTTGACAGGTTACCAGAAGAGTCTTTACGTGGCAAAATGTCATCATCGACGTACTTTTGCACCTCTTTGATAGCTTTCGAAAGAGGTGTTCCTTGTTGCTTCGTGACGGTGGTGGACATAAATTGGTCAAAAATGCTCCAGGCCGTGTTGTAACTGCTCCTTGAGGCCGATGACGTGGATGGATCGGTTTCGGATGTTGGATGCCAATTCTGTGCAATCAGGTCTTGGACGTGATTTTGTACACGACGTTTTGTATTTTCCGCATCTTTTGGGTCCGAAAAAGCGGCCATCTTGTACCGGGGGTCTAAGAAAGTGCACAGAGAAAATGTACCACTTTGTTCTACGTTTCTAAGCCTTTTGTTAAAATTGAACCGTAGTGCGTTCAAAAAAGATTCAATATTTCCAGAATTGCGTGGTACCGTACTTTCAAGCGATTGCTTCAAAATTCAGGTAACCACAATCACATCACTTCCAGTGACATATTTCTCAAAACTCATGCATGCAGTCATTTCCTCAAAAGGCTTCAGAATTCGGCATATTTCTGGAAATATTGACCACTCCTCTTCCGAAATGATGGGTAAATTGTTGTTGAGAAGAGCTATGGTAATTTTAACTTCATCCTTTATTTGTGTGATACGCTCTAGCATATAAAATGTGGAATTCCACCTTGTTTTTATAGATTGTATAAGCCGTTTCGGTGCCTTTCCATTTAAAAGCTGTTGCTGATTTAATTTTTCTGAAGCCGTGATACTTTTATGAAAAAATGCAACAATTTTTTTAATTTTTCCTGAATTGTCCTTAAAATAGTCTAAAGAATCTTGTAAAACTAAATTAAGAGTATGGGCGTAACAGCCATAGTGCTTCCAGCCCAAATGGTCTTTCACGGCATTGGTAACATTGGAGGCGTTATCCGAAACCGCAAAGTTGATTTTGCGGGTTAAATCCCAGTCATCTAATATACGCCGTAATTCTGCAGCTATATTCACTGCAGTGTGATGTCCAGAAAAACTACAGCAATCTAAAAGAATAGTTTTCAATTGAAAGTCACGACTAATGAAATGTCCAGTGACAGCTATGTACGACTCCGTTTTCCGTGACGTCCACAAGTCTAATGTGACACAGATTGCATCACAATCTGTATTAATAAGTGGCTTAATTATTTCTTTTGTGTTATTATATAGCAAAGTTAATTGGCTATTGGATAAGGTTTTCCGGGATGGTAAAGTATATCCCGGTATCCAACGCATTAGTTTTTTAAATGCACGTTCTTCCACGATGTAAAAGGATGAAAAGAGTCTATGCAGAGCTCTAACACATCGCGATCAATTTGCTGCTTTTGCTGTTTAGAAATTTTTTTTGGGACATAAGTATCCATTATCTTTTGCCTTTTTTGCTTCGGGTTAGGGGTTTCTGTGGCACCTTCTGGTCTATTATCCCCAGAGGGAGTTGTACTAATTGCAGCTTTTTGTCGGTTCTCCTCTATACTATTTGTTGCAGATGAGCTGGCAATACTTGTTGGCATCAGTTCAGTTACACTACAGGCTGACGGAGTGGTAGGGGGTAGAGTCTCGGAACTTTGCACTTGTGATGGTAGTGAGAGGTAAATTACGTGCTTTCTTTTAAGATGGTTTTTCAGGTTCGCTACAGTCGATTTATAGCTGTAACTTTCTCTGCACGTAATGCAGATCGCCTTTCCCAAATTTTCCACCTTTTCGAAGTAGTTCCACATTTCACTAACGTTTTTTTCTTTGAGACATTTTCGAAAGTACGTCACTAAATTACACAAAAAAAAACGTTTTAATAACAAAAGTACAAAACTATTATTCACAAATTTACCTACAAAACTATTAAACAATTAATATATACAATAAATCACACAAAACACTTTTCGCGCGTAAACATACAGTCACTTTTTAGGAAATTCGAAATGTTTTAATAACAAAAGTACAAAACTATTATTCACAAATTTACCTATATTCACAAAATTACCTACAAAACTATTAGACAATTAATATATACAATAAATCACAACAAAACACTTTTCGCGTGTAAACATATAGTCACTTTTTTGGAAATACACAGTAAGCGTAGACAAGCGTTACTTGACAACAAATGAAATGAAACTGATTTAAATTTTAAAACAAAAAACGTACGTTTGACCAAGCCGATCTTCACAAATAGTTACATAAAAGAATAAGAGAAAGCCGAAAATACCGTTTTTTCTCGGTCCGTTCGTTTTTGTACAACCGTCTACAACCAAATTTGAATTGTGTGTAGATATAAATAAGATTTATTTTAGCTTTAAGCGTAACGTCAAATCAAAAGTAGTTACTATAACTGTTTTCTATTTATACGACAATAGTTCATAAAGCAATAGCAATAGAATATTAACTTGATCCAACCTATGAATCTACCAAACGAACATGTATTTTGTAAACGTTTTGCGATTGAGACAGTTCCGAGAATGAAATGTAGAACTGTATTTATTTCGTTCGTTTTTAAACCTAATGTTGGATCTTCGAGAAACTGTTTGTTCGTTTTTCTTTGACAAACTGTTTTTTAAAAGCGTTTCTGAATAAAATGCCCAGTACTAGGACGTTCCCGATTTAAAGATCTGTGTCGCGCTCTCCCCAAAATACGTAAAAATGTCCCGCTTTGACAAACAAAAGGGTGACAATCAAGCAAACTCTGTCACCGTGCCATCATTATGACACCGCGCGTACTAGGTTTGCCAGCATGGCTTGACTAGTTACATGATTATTCTGAAAAGCTACACTTTTGAATTTAAAGTTACAAAGTGACAATTTTTAATTAATCTACAATAAATTATCAAATAACATAAGTTATTTCCAATTAGTATTTATTTGATGTTCAGAATTCACTTTTGATCATTGAAAGATTCAAACAACTATGTGTTTTATTTATATAACTATATTAAATGACTCCAGATTGAATTTTGGTAACGGCGGCCATTCTCAACGGAAAATAGCCATCTGCGCATCTGAATTATATTGCCCAAGTGTAATACTATTGCTACTAAGAATTTTGTGATAGAAAAATCCAATAAATGATCCTTGACCCGACTCGGGTTTCGAACTTGGGACCACATGATCAGCAATTGCGTTATCGACCATTAGGCCAAGTAGGTAGTCAAAAGTGTTAAAACGGTAATAATTTTAAAGGCGTCCCGCTCTGAGGCAAAAAATAAATGGTCACTAAAAAGCCGGGCTTTTTATCTCCATACTAATTGCTATTTATACAATCGTAGTTATATTTCATTATAGAACATTTTGCCACAGGTTAGAAAGGCAGCGATCGTCTTCTCGAAAGCCCGATATAAAGCCCACGCATGCGAGAAAGACAACCAATCGCTCAATTCAACTCTCCTTATATGTATGACAGCAGTATCCCTAAGACTACGAGGTCTGTCGAACAGAGCGCGCGGGAAATTTGAAATAGTTTGAAACAGTATATGAGTAATTTTATTACTTGATAGGGCAAGCCGGGCTTCTGGGCTTCTGTTGAGGCTTCGCCACTGCTCGCAATACGTAGCTTGCTTGTTTGTATTTTCATTCTACTGGGCATGAAAAATGTAGCATACGTTTTTCAGTCTATGATTTCTTCATTTTTTGACAAGATTGTATCATACTTTTTAGGATTAGTTCCAGTATTTCCTATTAAAGTTTCCCATTCAGATGGTGCGTAAATTGTCCTCTTTTGCACAAATCTTCCTATTGTCGTTAGTACAGAATCCACAGGCATCATGATATATCCAGGTATAGGTGTACCTTTGCCACGTTGATAAGATTTTGACATTAAATTTGCGATCTTGTGAGACCTAGTGTAACGGAGTATCGTCTGCGAAATGTCAAGAGTTTTCTGAAGAAAACCCCCCGCTGACCACGGGTTCTGTAAAGTGCTCGAAACGTGGTGAATATAAAATAAGGTAATATAAGCGATAAAATCCGTAAAAACTAGTTTTATTTCAACGAAATTGATTCGAAAAGAACAGACCATATCGTGCTCGTTTTAAACGAACACTAAACGAGATTTACCCCCCTCCCCCTTCCCCTAATTTATCGCTAAATATCTTTTCTTTGTCCGGCAGAGCTACGCGCTTCTGAAGGACCACCGCTGGGTGCACACGGGCGAGAAGCCGTTCGCGTGCGAGCTGTGCGGCAAGTCGTTCCGAATGCGGCAGCGGCTCGTCGCGCACCGCCGCGTACATGCGCCGCGCCGCCTCACCTACGCGTGCGCGCACTGTGGCAAGCACTTCTCCACGCACAGCAACCGACAGCGACACATGTTTGTAAGTGCACCGCACTACACTCCATAAGATACGATACAACACAATACTATACAACCGCACCGCCGCCTCACCTAAGAGTGCGCTCACTGCAGCAAGCACTTCTCCATGCACAGCAACCGACAGCGACACATGTTTGTGAGTGCACCGCACTACACTCCATAAGATACGATACAACACAATACTATACAACCGCGCCACCGCCTCACCTACGTGTGCGCTCACTGCAGCAAGCACTTCTCCATGCACAGCAACCGACGGCGACAAATGTTTGTAAGTGCACCGCACTACACTCCATAAGATACGATACAACACAATACTATACAACCGCACCGCCGCCTCACCTACGTGTGCGCTCACTGCAGCAAGCACTTCTCTATGCACAGCAACCGACAGCGACACATGTTTGTGAGTGCACCGCACTACACTCCATAAGATACGATACAAAACAATACTATACAACCGCACCGCCGCCTCACCTATGCGTGCGCTCACTGCAGCAAGCACTTCTCCACACACAGCAACCGACAGCGACACATGTTTGTGAGTGCACTACACTACACTACCATAAGATACGATACAACACAATACTATACAACCGCACCGCCGCCTCACCTACGCGTGCGCTCACTGCAGCAAGCACTTCTCCATGCACAGCAACCGACAGCGACACATGTTTGTAAGTGCACCGCACTACACTCCATAAGATACGATACAACACAATACTATACAACCGCACCGCCGCCTCACCTACGTGTGCGCTCACTGCAGCAAGCACTTCTCCATGCACAGCAACCGACAGCGACAAATGTTTGTAAGTGCACCGCACTACACTCCATAAGATACGATACAACACAGTACTATACAACCGCACCGCCGCCTTACCTATGCGTGCGCTCACTGCAGCAAGCACTTGTCCACGCACAGCAACCGACAGCGACACATGTTTGTGAGTGCACCGCACTACACTCCATAAGATACGATACAACACAATACTATACAACCGCACCGCCGCCTCACCTACGTGTGCGCTCACTGCAGCAAGCACTTCTCCATGCACAGCAACCGACAGCGACACATGTTTGTAAGTGCACCGCACTACACTACCATAAGATACGATACAACGCAATACTATACAACCGCACCGCCGCCTCACCTATGCGTGCGCTCACTGCAGCAAGCCCTTCTCCACGCACAGCAACCGACAGCGACACATGTTTGTGAGTGCACCGCACTACACTCCATAAGATACGATACAACACAATACAATACAACCGCACCGCCGCCTCACCTACGTGTGCGCTCACTGCAGCAAGCACTTCTCCACGCAGAGCAACCGACAGCGACACATGTTTGTGAGTGCACTACAATACACTACCATAAGATACGATACAACACAATACTATACAACCGCACCGCCGCCTCACCTACGCGTGCGCTCACTGCAGCAAGCACTTCTCCATGCACAGCAACCGACAGCGACACATGTTTGTGAGTGCACCGCACTACACTACCATAAGATACGATACAACGCAATACTATACAACCGCACCGCCGCCTCACCTATGCGTGCGCTCACTGCAGCAAGCCCTTCTCCACGCACAGCAACCGACAGCGACACATGTTTGTGAGTGCACCGCACTACACTACCATAAGATACGATACAACACTATACAATACAACCGCACCGCCGCTTCACCTACGTGTGCGCTCACTGCAGCAAGCACTTCTCCACGCACAGCAACCGACAGCGACACATGTTTGTGAGTGCACCACACTACACTCCATAAGATACGATACAACACTATACAATACAACCGCACCGCCGCCTCACCTATGCGTGCGCTCACTGCAGCAAGCCCTTCTCCATGCACAGCAACCGACAGCGACACATGTTTGTGAGTGCACCGCACTACACTCCATAAGATACGATACAACACTATACAATACAACCGCACCGCCGCTTCACCTATGCGTGCGCTCACTGCAGCAAGCACTTCTCCACGCAGAGCAACCGACAGCGACACATGTTTGTGAGTGCACTACACTACACCACCATAAGATACGATACAACACAATACAATACAACCGCACCGCCGCCTCACCTATGCGTGCGCTCACTGCAGCAAGCACTTCTCCACGCACAGCAACCGACAGCGACACATGTTTGTGAGTGCACTACGATACGATAGTAAAAAAGGCGGCCCCGCTAGATGAAGTGACGTCTTATAATATAAAACAGCATTATGCTGTATGCTTTTCTCGACAGCCAGAGCGGCAATACGCTCATCTAGGTCCACACTTAATGAAATTGAAGTAACCTGTCTTAGACAGTATTCATCATATAATTAACATTTAATATTCGTTTATTCAATCATTTAGGCCGGGGATGGCGACCCATGGCGCGCGACACAATATTTTGGATACGCAACCGATCACAAAGTTCACTATGAAGTATTATATTACGAACGAACGCGAGTGATACTAGTTACAGCGTGGACTACTATTATTAAAGACAGATAGTTCATTTCATCATCATCATTAGACAGCCCTTCACAATTTCACGCCTCCCACAAGGAATGCACACATCGTTTACGCATAGCATAACAGTCAATTTAGTTGACACAACTGTATTTAAAAGTTCATTTGTGTTATATTTAGGTACGATTTTACAACCCCACTATACTCGTAAGTTATTTGTCATCTAATCTGCAATGTATAACTGATTTATTATTTTTCTCCCAATAATCGAGATGTAAAAATTTTTTTACGGCACGTCTGTTACCAAATTAAACATTTCTTTATAAAAATGTCACGTTGATACATAAACGTTCGCCACCCCTGACTTAGGCTATCAATGTTTTGCCATATATTTGCAATAGTATATCCTATACCTTTAAACGAGCAATTCTTGTATATATATATATATAATCGAAATCTCGGAAACGGCTCCAACGATTTTCATAAAATTTTGTGTGCAGGGAATTTCGGGGGCAATAAATCGATCTAGCTTGGTTTTATGCTTAGAAATGTCTTTTTGTCCGTGTTTTTAGGCAATGAAAAACTGATACAATATCGTTAGAATAAAAAGGTAAATTTTGACAGTTTATTAATGATTAGAAATAGTTTAATTGGTATATTGGGCGGTCACATAATTGAACACCATGGTTCGAGCCCAGACCGACCGACCGACATTTTTTAATTTTTTTTCAAGTTCCTTTCTTTTTTGAGAAAATGTATTTTTGGAGCCCTTTTTTAGTATTTTTTAAAAACATGAAAATTTAAATTAATTTTCACTCATGATTTTTTATTCAAATAACCAGTTCAGTTTTTTCTATTATGTCGCTAAGGTCAAAAAATATTATTCGTATTTCATCAGTATGTAATTTGTATCTAAATATAATTTCCAAAACACACGAATTAAAAAAAACCGAGCGAAAAATACCGAGCAAAGCTCGGTCAACCGGGTACTTTAACATAATTGCCTCATTTGGCAGGCGGGTTGTCAACCGCACTTTTGTATTTTTTGGAGTTGCTATCGAGACGGTGCTGCTGGCCATCTCCTGCTGTATTCCTCTCCCTCACCTCTTACTCTTACGATACAAAAGAAATAAATACGGGGCAGGGAATTCTCTTACGGCACCACTACACGACTGTAGTCAACTAATACTTACATAAACACTCCTGTCACCCAGAGAGGTAGGCAGAGATTAAGAGACTTCCATTTGTTACGATCTATTATACGGGACCGTGGATAGAACTTTAAAAAAAACTATTTAATACACGACACAATATAACTTAATTAAATTCACAATAAGGAATTAATAAACTTATAATAACTAGGACTTAGAAAGATTTTGTAAGGAGATAGTAACGATGACTGAGACTGTGACTGGAATGAGACTTGGAGATTGACTGAGACGGAATGTAGACTGCTTGAAGACTAACTGGCGTTCGTCGGGAGATCGGTTATATAGGCCTTATGTCGCTGACGCAGCAGCGTGAAAGAGATGCGTTAACCGATCTCCTAACATTGATGGGGTATAACAGATCCTTACACACCTCTCTCGCCTTCTTTATATCCATATAAGCAAAGATGTTTTATAGGTACGGATACCGTGTTGCTAACACATCGCACCGTTCAGAGTGACGCTAGTCTTTGATTTATGTGTGCGTGAGTACCAAGTGACGCGCATATCTTACGTACCACGCCTGCATTAGTGTGCGTGACTTCGGTAACAATAGTGCGAATCGATTGCCCAAAAATTTGGGAGATTTTATATTTCATTAATATTTACATACCTGAGTGTAAAATGTGTGTGCGAGGCGTGTGCATTTGTGTGCGTGTGTGTATGGGGATGTACACACACACAATGTATATGGGTGGTTATGTGTGTTTTATGTAGGTACGAAAATCGCACTAAAATAGTGAAGATAGGTAATAAAACCTATAATTAATGTAACAGTTAAAAATAAATAAAAAATCATAGTAGACATTTATGTATCTAACATATATTGAACTAATCTATTATTATTGAATGAATATAGAGTACTACACTTTCGCACTGTAGAACCCAAAATATTGCCGCTTTTTACGAAGACATTAATAATTTTTTAATCTTTAGTAAAATGACGTACAAAAGTAAGTTTGGTTAAGTGTAAACTTCGGCTAAGAGATAGCAAATGTTTATTTTTTTAAATTCATGTATCTATCCAGTTTGATGACTAGATCAAATCATTGCGTGAAATCAATTAAATCCTGCCACTGGAAGAAGATAGAACTTTGTGTGTTTGAAGGCTACATTTTGTACTGTAAAAACTGTATGTAAATAAATAAAAGAACATATAGAATCAATGTTGTTTGTGTATAAGTGTCCTTGACATGAAAGTGAATTGAACATATACACATCCTTTCTTTAGGCTTCCACCGGGATTCATTTCTAGTCCATCTTATGATTTCAGTCCTCGACGACGAGTAAGGACGACTCACTGGCCCATACCGCAAAGGAGAAACCCGATCTTCTAGGCTCTTTCTTTGCGTCTAACTCGACTCTCGATGACGGCGGGAGTACGCCGCCGACCATCCTGTGGTGTGAGTGCTCCATGCCGGAAGTAGCAGTTCATACAGCGCTCGGTTCGCAAAGCACTCCTCTCCCTGGACATCCACAAGTCGAGTGGGCCTGACGGAATCCCCCCAATTGTGCTGAGGACGTGTGCTCCAGAGTTGGCACCGGTCTTAACGCGTCTTTTCCGGTACTCCTACTCCCTAGGCGTAGTTCCAAAATCATGGAAGACGGCTTTCGTCCACCCGATCCCTAAAAAAGGCGACCGCTCAGACCCGTCCAACTACCGGCCTATCGCCATCACCTCCTTGTTCTCCAAAACAATGGAGTCCATTGTAAACTGCCAGCTCATGAGGTACCTTGAGGATCACCAGCTGATTAGTGACCGCCAATACGGTTTTCGCCGTGGTCGGTCAGCTGGTGATCTTCTGGTCTACCTAACTCACAGATGGGCGGAGGTAGTAGAGTCCAAGGGGGAGGCATTGGCCGTTAGTTTGGACATTGCGAAGGCCTTCGATCGGGTTTGGCACAAAGCGCTTCTTTCGAAGCTCCCTTCCTATGGGCTTCCCGTGAAATTGTGCGATTGGATCACCAGCTTTCTTGCAGATCGGAGCATCAAGGTCGTTGTTGACGGTGCAAGCTCCGATTGCAAGCCTATTAATGCTGGTGTTCCACATGGCTGCGTGCTATCGCCAACGCTGTTTCTTCTGCATATCAATGATATGTTGCAAACCCGTAACATTCATTGCTATGCAGATGACAGCACTGGTGATGCTCTTTACACCGGTCGAGCCAATATTTCTCGGGAAAACGTCTCCGAGTGCCGGAACAAACTTGTGTCTGAAGTCGAGTCTTTGCTGAACAGAGTCTCGGATTGGGGGCGACTAAATCTAGTCCAGTTTAACCCCCAGAAGACACAAGTTTGCGCGTTAACCGCTAAAAAGAACCCCTTTGTCGTATCCCCTCAGTTTCAAGGCACTCCCCTTGTTGCCTCAGCCAGTATCGGAATCCTCGGCGTCGACATATCGAGTGACGTGCAGTTTCGTGGTCACTTGGAAGGGAAGGCCAAATTGGCCTCTAAAAAAGCTTGGCGTGCTCAGCAGAGCGGGACAGTATTTCATGCCGGCACACCGCCTGCAACTTTACAAGGCGCAGGTTCGGCCGCACATGGAATCCTGTTCCCATCTCTGGGCTGGGGCTCCCCAGTACCAGCTCCTTCCACTTGACCGCATCCAGCGCAGAGCGGCTCGAATCGTCGACGACCGAGTGCTTTCCGATCGGCTCGATTCACTGGCACTGCGAAGAGATGTTGCATCCCTTTGCATTTTCTTTCGCATATACCATGGAGAGTGCTCTGAGGAATTGTTCGGATTAATCCCAGCCGCCAAATTTCGTGAACGCACTACGCGGCAAACGTCCCGATACCATCCACAGCATCTGGATGCTTGGCGGTCCACCACTGTACGTTTCAAAAGGAGTTTTCTTCCGCGTACAACCTCTCTGTGGAATAGTTTACCACCGGCGATTTTTCCGGACCGATACGACCTGGGGACCTTCAAGAAAAGAGCTTACTCCTTTCTAAAGGGCCGGCAACGCGCCTGCAATTCCCCTGGTGTTGCGGTTGATCATGGGCGGCGGTAATCACTTAACATCAGGTGAGCCGCATGCTCGTTTGCCCCCTCTTCTATAAAAAAAAAGTCCAACGACTTAAAATTACCGGAACCGTTGGATATCTACGGAGGGAATAAAAGCAATTTGACATTTATAATATCAGTATGGATTGTCAAGAATGACAGATTAACTTTTCAAACCAGTTCACAATCGGCTTTTTGAGCGTTAAATTACACACTCCCGCTCTTTTTCCCTCTAGTAAATGACGGTTCTGAGTGACCAAAAAGGATAGATTTACAGGAAAGTGCGATTCCGTGCTGTCAAATCTATTTCGACCCTTAAAACGGTTTAACTCGGTTAAAACCTGTAAAATTAGACCGTTTAAAACCACTATACAGATAACCTTTCCGGTTGATCATGACTAAAGATGTGAAGGCGGTTATCAACGATTTCAACCGAGCGGATAACAATGATAGTTTTCGTTTTTAATGGTCGACAACCGCTTTTGATGGCTTGAAATGGATTAAAACATAATTTTTTTGGGCAATAAGTTTTTTTCTCTTTGGTAATGAATAAACCACAGAAAGTCCTATAATATATTATAATCATCAATTTTTTAATTCGAGTGATCATCTTAGATAGGTATTTACTTTTTTTTAAATGTTCATTACACAAACAATTATTATAATAATATAATTTAATGACCCAACTAAAGCCCTTATTAGTAATGTAATGGTGAAAGAATTTTCAAAATCAGTCCAGTAATTTTCGAGATTAGCCAAATAAAACATATTCATAGAAAGTAGCGCCATCTATAATAAAATACATCCTACATTAGACATCTTTATTTATGCATAACATTCTAGTGGTAAAAGAATTTTCAAAATCGGTCAAGAACTTAACGAGTTTTGCTAAAAAACATATTCGTTGATAGTAGTGCCCTCTATATTAAAATACATCCTACGTTTCACAGTCATAATAGCATTCTAATAGTGAAAGAATTTTTAAATAGGTCAAGTAATTTTTGAGCACTATTCCAAAAAGCGATTCAGCTTAGCCAACCGCACACATAGTAAAAACATAACCATCCCTTTTCGTCTGTAGTCGGATAAACAACCGGTTCACAACGGTGCGTATCGGCTGCTTTGGATAAATATCCGTTGTTAACAGTTGCTTTACATATATTAATGACATTAAAATAGGGAAATACATTTCATACGGTAGGCAACACTCGAGTATTATTGCGCAGTATTATAACTTGTATTGACATTCAGCTTTTGTATTATTTTATAAAGAAATACACCAGAAAATTATATATTTACGAAAAGTGATGTTCTTATCCTTATCTTTTTTCCTAGAGTAATTTTTACATGATTTCACAGGACAACAGTCATTTTGCGAAATTAAAAACTGGTGGTGATGTATGTTCGCAGTGAACGTCGCTGGCATAATGGCGGAACTATCGAACGAATACGCCAATATTGGCGCTTTTTAAATGAAAGCGTTTTAGGCGCGCGTACACGGTATCTGTACCTATAAAACATCTTTGCATATAAGGGTACTCTTAATCTGGCCCATCTTCAATATATCGTCAACTTTCGTCTAGTGCGTCCCTTCTCGACACTGTCGTTTACCTCCGCAACATACCACCGGAGCATTTCTTTCTTAATCCTGTTCACAACATCATCTTGCAAACGATACTTGTAAATCTATTATATTTATTGAAATTTATTACTCAACAGATACATACAGGCTTGAAGCCATTTAAATGCGAGATGTGCGGGAAGTGCTTTAAGCACGCGAGCGAGAAGCGAGCCCACATCTCCTACGTGCATCTGAAGAAGCCCTGGCCGAAGAGGACCCGGGGAAAACGGAGATCAGATAGACAGGTTTGCTATTTTTAGTTGTCCTTCAGCAGCTCCGGCTTGGTCGAATCGTTGCAGTGTATCATCAATCGTGAAAAATTCATTCATATGACCCGGGTCTAATGAAAGTATCCATGATTGCAATAACATTTTTTGAATGTTCCGAATTAAACGATCCGAACGAACGAAACGACGACCGACATTTCATGCGGGTCTCACAGATTACAGAGGATTGAAACTGGAAATGATCCACTTGAATGATCGACCCGAATGATCCCATTCGTAAAAGGAATCAACAGTTGAATGCGTGAACTTGCGTCAATGTTTTGTGAGTGCAAGTTAGTTATACCGCCATCCATCGGTTGCCATAAGACTTATCTAACATTGCCTGTAATCGCTTCTTACGACGCCCACGGGACGTAATAGGATGATTAGAATCTCTTAAGCCACTATCACACGGCTAAGTGTTATTTAAAAGTTATTCAAATAACCGTAATAGATCAACACTAAATATCCGGCAGAACTATTTTACCTGCGTAGAAAGAAATAAGGGATTTGGTTAAATTGATGTCGTGAACCGATTGGAAAAGAGACCGGTAAGCGAAGTAAGAGCGGCCCCCCACTAGCTGCAGTAAAAACCTGGTGAGAGGTACAGGAAGTTGATGGATGCATCTGGTTCAGGACCGTGCTTTGTGGCATTTGGGGGGGGGGGGCTTATATTCAGTAGAGGACTTGTGAAGGGCAGTTATGAATGAATGAGGTCGTGATCAAGTAAGCGTGTTCAGCCCGGGGAACTGTCAGCTCTCTGTGTATAGTACGGAACTCGTGCTTTTGTATACCGGAGTAGTTGGGAAACTTCGAAAGCGCGATGTAGGCTGCGGTTACTTTTAGCTCGACGACAACTCCGCCATAGTGTATCTGCACACTGATGAATTAATTTGCTTGTAATCAATTTTTTACTACATCTAAGGGGCACTTTAAATTTGCTCTAGAAAACAAATTTCTATTTGTCACACTGAGGACAAAATCCAAAAAATTTAATTAAATGGAAATAGTCATAAAATATCACACTAAATCATTTACACAAACTACGAGTATATAGTAAAGGGAAAAGATGAGCACTGAGGCGAAGAATGCTATGCTGCTCATTCAATTTAAATATAAATTTAGAAGAAAAAAAAAGACAGATAAAGATATAAACGCAAGAAGGTATAAAGCAGCTTTCGCCATAGTATAATACCATTGTAGTTCATAGCACAACAATATCGCGCACCATACAAAGCCAATAATATATAGTACAGTACAGTGTGAACGTGTCCATAGCAATGTGTGGTGCGCGATATTGTTGTGCTATGAGCTATTTACTATATGTTATTATATTATAGCGTAGTCTGAAATCAATAATATATAGTAGTACAGTACAGTGTGAACGTGGTCCATAACAATGTATGGTGCGCGATATTGTTGTGCTATGAGCTATCTACTATATGCTATTATATTATAGCGTAGTCTGAAATCAATAATATATAGTACAGTACAGTGTGAACGTGTCCATAACAATGTATGGTGCGCGATATTGTTGTGCTATGAGCTATATACTATATGCTATTATATTATAGCGTAGTCTGAAATCAATAATATATAGTACAGTACAGTGTGAACGTGGTCCATAACAATGTATGGTGCGCGATATTGTTGTACTATGAGCTATGTACTATATGCTATTATATTATAGCGTAGTCTGAAAGCCGCTAAATAAGAATAGCTTCTGAACGGATGAACCGATTTTGATTAAGTTGTTCATCGTTTGAAAGGTGCCGTAATCGAGTGTTTTTGCTGATGATCGTCAGCCGTTTGAAGATCATCAGCTCTTTTTGTTTCGGGGGGTTTGAAAAATTTTAGTTTAATATTATTCGTGTTCATGTTATTCTGGTCTGTATACTTAAAATAAATCATGCCTATTAACCCAATAAACAGGGGCAGTTGTCAACTCAAACGGCGTTGGCGACGGGCGCGAGCGAGATGGATATAGTGCAGCCGTTATGGCCCACGTGTGATCCGAAACTGAGCGACATGAGTTCGATGATGGATGACAAGCCGATGTACTATAACATAAAGATATAAATAAGATTAATAGGTCCAGGATTAGCAGCTTTAATTCTAATATTGACACTTTTACGTAGCATAGGCTACGCGCAATAAGTTAATACGAGGGTGGATTGAAAAGTACTCGGCCTAACCAAGAAAATAAACACATACTAAATCAGTTATATTTTTATTTTTCTACATAATCACCATCAAGTTCATTACACCTTTGCCACCGCCCCTTCCAAGCATTTAGACCGTTGAAAAAAAATTATTCTTCCTTAGAGTCAAAATATGCGTCTACAGCTGCTTTGACCTCGTCGTTTGTCGAAAATCTTTGACCTCCCAAGTGCTTTTTTAGGTTAGGGAACAGAAAGAAGTCTGATGGTGCCAGATCAGGTGAATACGGCGGATGCGGTAACAGTTCAAAGCCACAGTTGTGAATTTCAGCCATTGACTGTACTGACGTGTGAACACGGGCGTTATCTTGATGAAACAGGACTTTTCTTCTGAGCATTCCTCGACGTTTTTCTTTTATTTCCTCTCGTAAATGACGTAGTAAGGTGCAGTAGTAATCAGAGTTTATAGTCTGACCTCTTTCAAGATAATCAATCATAATCACACCTTTCGAGTCCCAGAATACTGAAGCCATCACCTTATTTGCCGACAAAATCGACTTAGCCTTTTTAGGGGTGGTGAACCAGGTCTTCTCCACTGTTTTGATTGTTGTTTTGTTTCCGGTGTACAGTAATGAACCCATGTTTCGTCCATAGTAACAAAACGATTCAAAAAATCATCTGCATCGGCTTCAAATAATTCCAAACAGTCGCGTGAAATAGTCAATCGCGTCCTTTTTTGTTCAACTGAAAGCAGTCGCGGAACCCACCTCGCAGACACCTTGTGGAAACCCAACTCGTTGACAATGATGTTTTGAGTTCGTTCATAAGAGATGCCTATAATCTCGGCTATCTCTCTAATTTTTAATCTGCGGTCTCCCATTATTAAATCAGGTACTTTTTTAATATTTTCGTCAGTAGTTGACGTCGAAGGCCTTCCAGAGCGGGGTTCATCTTTCACACTCTCTCTACCACGCTTAAATTCTGCTATCCATTTTTTGACGGATGAATATGACAGAGCACAATCGCCTAATGTATTGACCATGTCATCATGGATGGCTTTTGATGATAGCCCCTTCTTATGGAGGTACTTAATGACGGCACGCTGCTCGATTTGCTCCATTCGCGGAAATTATATCCGATTACTTTGTTAATAAATTTATAAAATCACAACTAATTATCGCACACGTTTCGAACTTCACACAATGAACTAGTCTGAACTGAACTAAATAATGTGGGTAGATTTGATTTTTAGAATTGAATAGATCTGTGTTAGGCCGAGTACTTTTCAATCCACCTAGTATAATATGATACAATTCTACTGGACATTGGTGATAGAGTGATAGAATAAAGACAGATAGAATGATGTCCTAGGTCACAACTACAATAAAACACTTCATCACTATCAATGATCTCAGATAAGATCTGAACTGTAAGATAGATAGTAAGAAAGAAAGGAAGCAAATCATCGCCAAGAGAGAAAAGGACTAGAACATACTTAAAGACGGCCAGATTTTAGGGCAAGGGAGGAATAGTTGTTTTTATTTTATTCAATATTCAATAGTTCTATTTGTGTAAATTTGTAACGAATATTCTGGAAAATGTAAAAACAATCCGTCTAATTACAAAAAGTGATTCTATAATAGTCTCGGACTTAAAATATCGTTTAAAAAGAGTCCTTTTAACAGACAGTCTTCGCGAAATTCAACATTTGCTGTCAAGTTCCATATTTTTATTAATTTAGTTCGTATATAATTCCGCGAGACGTTTTTCGTGAAACAGATTCTAATTTAAACCTGAGACTAATAAATTACTTGTAATAAGGCTGAATGTGTTTCATTTTGTTTAGGCTATATCATGTAATTTACATACTGTGTTCGTTGAAACGAATTTTTAAGAGGGAATTCAGGCGACTTTTAGTCCATGCAAACGTATTCCTCTGTTTTCTCCATAGAATACTATATAATACACAATACAATGGCTATCAACCTTATTTTTTACGGGGATCGGCGTCGCCTGGAACACACATACAAGCAATTACGTCGTATTATCACTACTACAAACCCGATTCGCTGTGTTGACAGACTGAGCGAATTTACACATTTTAGACTTTTGATTAATGTTCAAAATCATCATTAAAAATAAATTGTTTAAATTTTAATTCTATTTGTAAGTAGTGTGCAAATTAATCGAAAATTGGAAACGATTGTAACTTCAAAGATGTGTTGACATTTATAGGTGTGAATTGACATGTTAGTGACATACTAGTGGCTACACGGGCTCCGCCCACTCTCCCGTTCAATTTTGTATGTATTATAGTGTTCTATGGGTTTCTCCCTGAATAACAAATGAGCAAATATCTTTTTAAAATGCAATATTTATCATATATAACAAATTTAATCAATATAAACGATAAAACAAAGATATCAGATATAGCTACAATCCTACTTATTATTGTTCTTGATAAAAAGTTAAAGTAGGTCCAGTTATGGAGGAGAAAGCAGGAAACAGGAGGAACAGTCTGCGCAATAATTATCTCTCTCAGTTGTCTAGCTCGGTCATTCGAGTAAAAATTGAATTCTTAAAATTTCTTGTACTCGTAGTTCAAAATAAATTATTGAAACTACATAGGAAATATCATTGATCTTTACTCCTGTATCCACTCAAGTCTGGGAATGCCTAGGTTTAAAAGCGGCAAAAACAATTTTAGCTATAAATGAATTAAATTTTAATTTGCTTATGCTAATAGCCGTATTTGGACATAGACAAGCTAAAGTTATTTAAGTATCATAAATTTTAGTTTCGAATCAAATGAAGTATTTAACTTGACATAAGTAATGGTCAGCCATATTTAATTTTATTTTTTGATTGTTTGTTTTATGCGCTTGATAAAAGTATGTTTTTATTGACAATTGAATTTGTATGCAGTTGTGGTATAAAAAAAAGTATTTAAATATTGTGTACATTTTTTAAATAATTTATTTTTTAGAAATACATTGATACTAAATATATTAGGATTTATTATTTATTGTAATATTTTTCTACCAACTTCAAAAAGGAGGAGGTTTTCAATTCAACTGTATTTTTTATGTGTTACCGCAGAACTTTTTGTTTCGTTTTGTGAACCGATTGAATTTTTGTTTTCAAATTTAATCAAGATCTGGCTAGCAGTTTTTGAGTTATAATAATGCGTATTTAATTGGCTTCGACTATGTACGTTGATGATGTTCTCATTTTATTTATATTGAAGTCGGTTGAACGTTTTTTTTTATTTTAACACTTGTTTTATTTTTAGGTTTCTTTTGTATCAGAAATCGATTAGCGTAAATAATAAAAAAATAATTTTCTACCAAAGTGGTAGAAAAAAAGAGTTTTTCCGGGAACTTGACCATCGACGGTTTGTAGCTCCTGCTTTATCGTTTTATTAATGGGGTATGTTCCAAAATAGAATCCAGTATACTGTCCAATGCAAATGACGTCATGAATTGACAACAAACTGGTGATTCGTTCCAAAACATAGGACAGTATATGACGTCATACATTTGAGCCATATTGGAAAAGTGTTGGCGATTATTTTGTCATTTTGTGCTCCAAAAATCATTATATCTTCCTAATGGAGATATCAGCAATTATTCTATAATTTTTTGTATTTGAATAAATATGTTATTATTTATTCAAATACAAAAAATTCTGGCATGCTTCATTCAGCGCACACACAATTAAAAATTGTTTTATTGTGGCCGGATATCCGACGCAATATGACGGCGGCACGCCAGTACAATATAGTGTCAATTGATGACGTCATTTGCATTTGCCAGTGTACTGGGTTGTATTTCGGAACATACCCATGGTTTGAAGTGGATGTTCATACGTAAAAGTGATGCGATTTTGTGTATTATCTACGCGTGTGAACTATTAGTCGAAACGACGAAACAAGTGCATTGATGTTGATGAAAATTACTTGTGGTTTATCCACAAGTAATTTTATCCGCTTAGGTTCCTAATGAACTTGAGGTACCGTCGTTATAGACTGTACATTGGGTTGAGCTGTCGTCAATATCTCCCAAAAACTTCGCAATACGACGCATTAACATATTGTAAAGAAAGAAACATAGTAATATATTGGATAATTTCTTATTACGTATATACTTTCGCCAGTGTCAATATATAATATAGACACTGGCAAATGTATATTTATACAAGTCTATGAAGAAATAAAAAGTAGGCCTAGGATTTTGATAATGCATTTTAGTTTTACTATTGTATAATATGTAAGTGAGTGATAAGTACAATTGCGTGTATTGTGCAGTTATATTTTATAACTGAATGTATTTATTGGTGATCATAATAAATGAATTGATATTTTCGATATTTAGTTTTTTTTTTCATTACGCATACATTGATTTTGAACATGAACCTCTCCCATAGTGCCAACACTATTCTTAGTAAACGGACTGGCGATCCCAATATCGTCTTGTTATTTTGTCGACAAAACAGCAAGACGATAAAGCCACGCTACAAAGTATTATGAATGAGATGGAACACACTGTGAAATAACAGCTTAATATGCTATTGTGGTAGTGAGCGTAAAACACCGGAGACCCGTTTACTGGTAGCAAGATACGAGGCATTCTTTTGACAACGTATCTGAACTTTTTTAAACTTATTATTTTTATAAAAGCTGAATAACAGTTGAACTTACATTTCGCCTGATGGTATGTGGCTATTGCAGCGCATGAACACCTGCAGCCAACTCCAAAAAAGTAAGGCTGGATTGACTAGAACAGAAACAGATGTGTTGTCACCTCTCTGGTATTATTATATGCTCTGCCTTTGTGGGGAAATTCTGTTGATATGATTAGAGCGTTTAAATTACAAAAGAAATGTGTGCGAGCGATATGTGGTGCGTGGTTTCTTGATAGC